ATGGGTCAATATTCAGTTTTGTCGCCATAACTACTGCAATCATGACTTATTTGTGATCTTCATTTATGTTGAATGAAAAAATTGACCGATATATCGTGCCATTTCTACGACCTACGCCGGATCGATTTCATGAATGCATCAAGCAAAAAAATGTGGTGTAATTTTTATAGTACCGTTTTCTATACTAACCTTGCCGCAACAATAGCAGCTACTGTTGTAATCTTCTTTGCTTGTTCTCAAGTTCCACAGAGAGCTGCCCTTTTCAACCACGAAAGCTCACCTTAATGAATCCCTAGACGCAAAAGACGGTTCGTTTATAATAAGTTCGAAGTAGTCCTCGACATATCTTGCAAGTCAAAAGACAAAACTGTTTTCCTCGACAGCTGGTAAAGACGAAGTGTAACCAATTTTTAAAACTCAYCCACAATCAAACAGTGAGTAGAAACTGATGATACCTTGATTATGACGTTTCAAATACATGGCCTTTGTAACACGCTATTTACTTAAATTCTGCTATGTCACAAACTGAAAGGTTAAATAACAATTCAAAACTTAGATTCAAGTAACTTCTCTTCCTCGCAGGGGTTGCAGGGGCGGATTTAGACTAGTTGTAGTTCATCTAGTTTCCGGAAACTAGTTAGATCTTTACCAGAAATGTAATTTAAAAAATACTTCAAACAAAATTATACAAACCAAAAGAATTAGAGAGTATAGCTGGCATTTCGATCGCTTTGGCCGCCATTTTGAAAAGTTTACCACAGGAAACCCACATTGAAATCCCTGGATATATATTACTTAGTGTCTTGTGGGAGGGGACCCATCGAAACGTTTGTTATACSAATCCAATCTCGAGCMCAGAGTCTGTCTGGGTCTCTGAAAGCGAATAATCGCGTGAGCAGTCAACTAGTGCAAAATAATGTAGGCTGACTGGTTTTCGCGATCAAACAGACTATAGTACCCAGTCGTTTCTCTTGCTCGTTTTACGAATAGCGTTGCATCAAGGGAAGTCCGAACTACGAGGGAGAAACTTTTTCTTCGCACTTCCCTTGATCCTTTACGCGC